GGCGAAGTATAGAAAACAAAAGTGTGGGGCTAGGGAATTTAATTGGGTGAGTTTGTGATTTAAAAGAATTGGTAGAGTTTTTGTTTAAAAAAAAGGGAGGATAAAACCTTACTGTTGTGCACGACTCTCATTGCTTAGGGTTCCGAAAATTACATTTTTCGATAAAAAATAATGCTTTCAACTCCGTTCAAGTTTGAATAAAAAACACTAGGTTACCTAAAAAATAAAATAAAATTAAACACAAATAAATATTCAATAAAAATAAATAAAGTAAAGAAACGAAACGAAACGAAATGAAAAGAAAACAAAAATGAGTTATCTCCCATTAAAGCGCTTTTGTTTAACGTCGTTTAGCTCGACGGCCTGATTCAGACTATAGGTTTTGTTCGAGATTCTTTCTAGTCATAAAATCAAAACAAAAAATATACGAGTAATTTGCTGATGTCCCCATCAATGGCACCAATTTTGAAAAGTGTCGCTTTACTCGTCAAAATAAAATAAAACATCTTCTCAAATAAAAGAAATAAAAATAAATATAGTATAGTGAAAGAGGGTTGGTCCATAGGGACTTAGAAATTCCTGATGCGATTTAGTGTTGTTTTCAGTCCAGGCAACTATAAGAAAAATAAATTGGAAAATGGGGAGTTTCGCAATTGAGAGATGAAAAATAAAAAAATAAAAAAAATAAAAATCAAAGTAAAAGAAATGAAAACGTAAATAAAGTTGAAAACAATAATGATGAAATCGCTTCAAGCTACCTTTGTTTCAATTTCGTTTGATTTTCGAAATGTATTTTTTACTTCGAGATTCATATATGTTATGATCTACAAGGCCCAACCCATTGTAACTTGCCATTCTCTCATGTAACCGATCTTCCCAAGTCTATCTTCGAAAGATGATTCTTGAGTGGATTAACCATAGCTATTTTCGCTAAAACAATCATAATTAAGTATTGGAAAGGTCCAACTTGGATTATATTGTCTCGACAAGAATCAAATCCGATCTCAGTTTTCCTTAGCGGACCGCCGCTAAGTATGTTCACAGGAAGTCGAATTGCCACAAGTCGGTCTTTCTTCATGACTATATATTTAAACCACATCCAGACCAACGAGCTCTTTTTGATTTGGAAGTGTTTAAAGTTTGTAAATAAGGCCGAAACTAATAAACCAGAATAACTAGAATGTATCCCAAAGGGAATTAAGTGTTATTAAATTCTCACGCATAGAATTGATTCATTGCTAGCTCTCGGTTATGAATGAAAAAAAAAACTTTTAATAAAATAAAAAAAATCTAATTCAAGTGTGTTTCAAGCTTTACTCTAAGGGAGTATTTATAGCTTCTAAATCCCTAAAGATAACATGGAAATTCAAAATGAAAATCTTATATCTTAAAAGATAAATCCCAAGTGTTTTTAAATTCAAACTTTAAAATTTAAAAATAAATCTCCTAAGTTATCTCTGCACGTTCACCTTCCAAAAGATGCTGACTGGATCTTCTAAAAAATTGTTGCTGACTGCACCTTCTAGAAACTGCACATCAGACCGTGTCATACCCAGAGTCATACCCATATCTCCAGTCGTGACTAAATAATAAGAAAAATGCATAATGAACCCTTTTTACTGTTAATTCTAGAAAATAAGATCATACACGAAAATAAGCACAATACAACCAAATCAATAGTAATAAATCCATAAGATCGAAGAATTATCAAGCAAATGTTATCGATTTAGAATACTCATCATGTACGGAATTTGGAGTCGTGTTAACCTCGGGGGGCATTCGTCTGTTGTAGTGATTACACACATCAGGGCGAATTCGCTTCTAAGGCAGTGGATTACCATGACACGATTATCATTATGATTGATTATTTTATTTAATATTTTTCACTCAGTGCTAATGTCTCGTTTTGCAGCAGTCTATTTTTCCAACATCGTGTACACTTGACTTTGAGCTTTTAAGCTCTTAATGATTTCATAGTTCAAGATGTGAGTGGTTATAATTTAGAGGCCGAGTTTATCACTCTTAGTGAATTCATAATTCATGATTTGAGTGGTCTCAACGAGATTAAATTGAATAACTCAATGAATTTTAAATGAGAGATTTAGTTAGATAAATGCTCTTGACGATTTCATAGCTCTGATTTGAATAAATTATTCTGAGATAGACTTAATAAAACTACATGCATAAGTAAGGATGATTATCCATCTTCTATGAAAGACTCTAGGTTGTCTTTATTGAACAATTATGAACATCTTGATATATATTTAGTTAATTAGTGAGCTATATAATCAATTCAAGATCCATTCACTTATTAAGAAGAGAATTAATTGTATCACTATATACTTATTTAAATCTAATAGTGACCTGTACACGTAAGCGACTAATTTCATCATTACTATTTTATATCATTTCCTTCTTGGATTCTTACTCCCTTGCATTATTGAGGTGGTGTTGGTAGCATGACGTTATGCATAGAATTAGTTTGTATTCCACATTGATGAGATACTAACTGGGTAAAAGATTTATATATAAATCAGCCCTTCTTAAAAGATATATATAGATAATGTGCTAAAATTTTAAAATAAGAATCCTAAAATATTTTATAATGAGATGGAATTATAAAATATAAAAAATTAAGAAGATTGAAACTAGGATTGGCATAAATAAGATTCTTTTTACCAATTAAACGCCATATATTTGATGAAATTTTTAGATATAATTGATTATAATTAAATTCTTGAGATAATAAGGGAGAAAACTAGAATGTTTTTTTAGTTAAATATTTTCTATTATAAAAGAAAACTCTCGCTATTTTCTCAAATATTCACTTCATAGTCTGTGGCATTCCTTTTTTTCAGCGAGGTTTTTTCTCTCTCTTTGGGATGAAGTTTATCTGGTTTTTAGAGTGATACTATTTGGGGGGGTCTTTTTTTTTTTTGGTCTATGAAATTTAAAAGATCATATTAATTTTGAGAAATAACATTCCCTTGTAAGTATATTAAATAAATGAAAATAATTTTAAAATAATAATAATACAATATAATAATTATATTCTATTATTTTTATTTAGAGGTGTTCAAACATATTCAATCTGGATGATCCAGTCCGTTGACTCACCGACTCAAACTAAAATTATAAGAAATTTATAGTGAAAATACCTGAATTTTTTAACTGGATACTCGACCCGGTATTTTTTACAGGTTTCTGGATTGGGCCCGAGTCATGAAATAATGTTTAATTGGGTACTCGTCGATCTGATTCCCAGATTCTTATATATATATATATATATTAGATTTTCTGTTCCTAATTCTCAAATTATTTCACCCTAACAATGTAAAATATTTCTCAAATTATTTCTTTTAACTTCAAAATATTTTAAATGTAATTGTATTTCTTAAATTTCATGTTTAATAAATTTTATTTTTTAATTATATAATTCAAATTTTTAAATTTTATAAGTGAGTTATGTATTATAGACCCCCAAGTTTTAAATTTTATATTTTTTATATGTTTTTTAAAAATATATAATTTAAAGAAAAATATAAATATAAATATAAATCGAGTAGCCTTAACCCGAAAATGCAAGTACACGGGTTTTATGGGTACCCGACTTACGGGTACCCGAACTTAACAGACCATGACACTGACCGGCATTTTAATACCCAAATATCCCAAATACCTAATATGAGTACCCAAATTTTAAACAACCCTACTTTTATTTATTATCGTTCGTAACATATAATGTTAATATTGTTGAATCTATTTTGATATAACAAATTTAAGGACAAAATATTTTTGGACTTAGATTGAATTTATTCAAAGTTTTAAAAAAATAATTCAAATTCCAAAAAACTTGAATTTGAACACAAAACTGTTTTTCTGGGTAAGTTGTACTGATATTGTTCTTACAGTATCGATATCGCATGAAGAGTACTGATATTGTTCTTGCAATATCGATACTAAATGTAAGAGAGGTATTGATACTCTCATGATAGTATTGATATTGGCTATTAGTTTCACATGTGTTCATATTTCAGTAAGCAAAAATAGTACCGATACTCAAAGGAGTGTCAATATTACTGTATAGTAGTATCAATACCATAACCCCAATATTGATACTTCTCATCCCAACAATAAAAAAACAACTAGTTTTCATTAGGACAGTATCGTACTCCTAGCTCGTGTACAGATACTCCTTGGTCTGGACAGTTTTATTTTATAGAAAACTAATCCCAACGGCTCCAAAACATCTCAACGGCTAGAAACAGTCATAAACACATTCTAATATATAAAAACAAATTGAGGATACTTGAAGAAGGTTACACTTCACCTATTCAAGCATTGATCGTCAAGAGAAAAATTTTTATTCTTTATTCGTATTTTCTCTTGTAAATAATATGCTTTAGTGATCTTAAATTGTAAACATTTTTCGTTGAGAGGTTTCTTGTTTACGCATTTTTAATCCTTTAGTAAAAGGGGAGTGGTTCTATCTTAACCATTGAAAAGATATGAAATTGTAAAAGGTTACTCTTGAGCTTATAAAAAGAAAGAACAAATTAGTTAATTTGTCAGAAATCCTTAGTGTGGAACTAAGATAGTGGATAAGTTGAACAACTTTAAATTTTTGTGCCTCTCAATTTTCTATCATTTCTTTCCATATCTCTAAAATTTTTATTTGATCAAATCACCTCCTCTTGACAACTTATTCGATTGAAAATATGTAAACCTCAACAAATACTTTTATTTTTCTGTAAATTCCCCTATTAATTCTTACTCAGCAGCCCTATCCTCTACTCGTGGTTCCTCCCACTGCTTCCGATTGTATGAGTCGAAGATGTTGGCCCTTTGCTTCCTTTTCTCTATTTTTTTATTAAAAGGAAAATTTATTGTTGCGTCTGATATTGTTGAGAACAGTTAGGTTGTCTGATATCGGTATATAAATACGGAAGACCCTGACCCTTCAGCCTATATAATTCATTTTGTTAGAAAGTTGAGAATAGTTATGGAGTCTGATATTGATGTTCAAGTGACTGAACGACGATCCGGTGGTTACCTTCCAACTGTTTGGGACCTGAAATTCATCGACTCTTTTAGCACTTCCCATACGGTTAGTGTCTTACTTATATTCAATTTTGTCGATTAACGGCATCATCTATTTCTCTGCCTGCATGCAGTATGACAGTGACGGTGGTCGTTTGGAGGAGCTGAAGCAAGCTGCTCGGTGTTTGTTTACGTCGGTAAATGGACCTGATGAAAAATTGGATATGATCGACAAAATGCAACGACTAGATATATCCAAATACTTTCACAAAGAGATCAATGAGTTTCTTACTCATCTTAATCCTAATGCAGCAACTGATCTTTTTACACTCGCCTTGAGATTTCGCATCCTCCGTCAACATGGTTTCTTCGTTACTCCAGGTTTACTGATTGTTTACTTCATTATGCATAAGTTTTGCATAATCAAATGCTAATATACCGATGACGGTGTAAAAATACAGATGTGTTTAAAAAGTTCATGGATAGCGACGGGAAGTTCAAAGAGAACCTAAGTGAAGATGTAAGAGGGCTGCTGAGCTTGTACGAAGCTTCATACCTAAACCTAGGACTGCATGGAGAAGACGATGTTCTTGAAGAGGCCAACACCTTTACCACAAAACATCTGAAACTGGCAACGGAGAATTTGGAGGACAAGGATTTAGCCCAGCAAATCAAAGAATCACTTGAAGTTCCATTATATCGGAGGTTGCCTAGAATGGAAGCTCGAAATTTCATCAATATCTATCAAAGAGATGGGAACAACAGTACGGTGTTGCTGGAACTTGCTAAATTGGACTTCAATCTTTTGCAGTCTGTTTACCTCCAGGAGCTGAAGGAGCTTGCACAGTAATTAATTGTTCTCTCTCTTTTCAATATTTCAATTTCAGTACCTGTAGCTTCTTTTTTGTATCAAAATGAAGTAAAAAAAAAGGAATTGATGGACAGGTGGTGGGCGGGGTTGAAGATGAAGGAAAAAGTGCCATTTGCAAGAGATCGGATGGTGGAGTGTTATTTTTGGGCAATGGGGAGTGTTCCAGACCCAAAGTTCTACAAATGCAGGAGAAACCTCACAAAATATGGAAGCTTAGCGACAGTATTAGATGATGTGTATGACATTTATGGATCAATGGATGAGCTTATCAAGTATACAACTGCTGTCGAAAGGTAACTTATCTATCATTCCTTTTCTGCTGATATTACAAAAACTCCATAAACCTATATATTGACCACGCAGGTGGGATGTGGAAGCTATTGAGGATCTTCCAGAGTATATGAGAGTATGCTACAAAGCCATGCACGACCATGTGAATGAAATGGTTGAGGATGCCTTAAATGCTCATGGCCTTAATATTTTACCCTATATCAAGGATCAGGTACGTGTATTCTTATTTTACTAATTAAGGAGAACTTGGATTATGTTAATTAATTATAGCATATATTACTGCAGTGGGTGTGTTATGTACAATCGTTGCACACAGAAGCAGAATGGTATTATGGAGGATACATGCCAACTTTGGATCAACATTTGCAAAATTCATGGATCTCAATCGGCATTGCCGTTGGTTTGGCCTTTGTGTTCCTTGCGTTGTTGGAAGATTCCGGCTCACTCCATCATTCTCAATGGCAATTCTTCGACCACTGGTCTGATTCAGACTTATTTTATTTACCATCCTTAATTACTCGACTTTTGGATGATTTAACCACTTCCAAGGTATGCTTGCTTAACAGAGTTTTTTTTTTTTTCAGAAGATAGAATTTATATTGTACTAACCTGAAATTATTGGACCATTTTGAAGGTTGAGATGGAAAGAGGAGAGATAACGAATTCGATCCAATGTTACATGATTCAGGAAGGGGTGTCTGAAGAAGAAGCATCAGATCACATAAAAGGATTAATAAATGATTCATGGAAACAACTTAACAAGTTGGTGGTTGATCCTTCTCTTCCAACTGGATTTGCCAAATTTGCATTGCTCATGACAAGATGTGTTCAACGAATGTATCAATTTGGTGATTGGTTTGGCATTCAGAGCACTGCAAACAGAGATTGTGTGTCTTCTTCCTTGTTCAACCGTATTTAGAATCTACAATAAGTAGGGTCTAAAATATCGATGACATAAATAAAAAATGTCGATTTCCTATCTTGTTTTTTTCAAGTTGGATCTATCTAGAATTTTAAAATTATCAAAATCACTTTTGAATTCCTATCAGGTCATGAAAAAAAAAATCCAGTCAGAATGAAAGCATCTAAAATCAGTAACAATAAATAATTGACGAGAACGTCAGAAATCAAACATTTTATTCATTTGTTTATTGCACAAGCTGGTAAAATTATTATCTCAAGTGCCTAATTAACAAGGAAGTGGAACTAGACACATATAATGTTTTCTTCTCAAGGAAGCACGGAAAATCTCAGCCATGTCAAGATCTCGAGGTTCCATTCCATTAGGAACCTTCCAATCAATATGATAAAGTGGATTTGCAAGTATAAGTTCAACATTGGCAATACCATACGACATGCCAGGACACATCCTCTTTCCTGCACCTTGCTGTTTGAATCTTCCCCCAAAGGCTGTTCTTGAGAATATGGTAAGTGATAAAGAATGCAACAAGTTCTTCAGGTTGATAGCCATCCCTGCATTCGATTTTATGGTTTCTGCCAAATGATAGACCTCTTCTTCCCTGATTGTTCTAAATGACTGAACTCGTTTCTGGATCAAGAGCTCCAGCACACAAATCTTGAGTATTTGTCTACTGTAATCGCAACGAGAAAACACCATGTCTTGAAAGTTGTAGGCTATCCTCTCAGCTGCGAAGAGAAAGGCCTCACAGCAAAAATGGAGTCATGAGTTCTCATGACTTGTTTAACAGCTTCTGTCGAGGAAATGACGACAGTTGGGACTTACCCAAGTTGAAGAAGCATGAGGGGGGCCATACTTGTGAGCCAAACGGGCGGGGCAGCGATGAGTCTGAATGCCAAAGAGGAGGTGTAAGTTCCCGATGAGTGGCAGTTTTGGAGGACCTGGGGTAGCTTCGATGCAAATTGATTAGATTTGGAGTTCAACCATGTCCTCAAAGCCATGAATATGAAGATTAGAGAGGTGGATTGGAGTAGATAGCAGGGGAGCTGGTTTTCCATGGCTGCACTGCTGCACTGGTTCCCCGGAATAGTAATATTTCAGGTGGAGTTATGAAAGAAAATAGGGTGCACTCCAAATTTTATTACATTCTCTTATTGGTTTAATGATATACGTAGAACCTCAAACATTTCTATAAAAAAAAAACTAATGCGATCCCTACTTTTTTAAGCTCAAAATGATATTTAAATTGAGAAATAAATTAATTTGATTCTTTGACCCACAAATTTGAATGTTGACCGTTATAATGTTGCTACCACGATTTAAGGGTGAAATTGTTTTAAAAAACATAACGAGTCATCGTCATCCATCATGGTCCAGCGTCCATGTGAATCGTTACATCATTACCATAGATCGTTATGTCACGTCATCACCAACAATAGTATGTCAATATCGTAATAGTTAATGTTCGATTTCAATGATTAAAAGGTCAAACTGATTTTTTCCTCTCATTTTTAGAGTCACATTGAGTGTAAAAAAAATTCAATGGTCACATTGATTTTTCAAAAAAAATAAGAGTCTCATGTACTATTACTTTCAAGAAAATAGATAGCATTCCAAACTTTATCAAGTTTTTTATTGATTTAATGATTTATGAGGACCTCCAACTTTGTTTTGAAAAACTAATGTGATCATTAAAGTTTTTCACTCAAAGCGGTCCTTAAATTGAGAAAAACCCAAGTTGATTATTAACCAACGGAATTGAATGTTAATTGGTACGATGTTGATGTGATAATTTATGATAGATAATAATATGACAAAAAGACTAAATTGATTTTTTTGTCGAGTTTGATGACTAAGTTATTTAAAAGCATTTTGGGCATCATAATCTACCATATTTATGTAAATACGTGAATAGGATTCTACCAATAGCATATTGTATAATATTTAAATAAGATTTAAAAGCATATTGAAATAAAAATAAGATTTGATTCAAAGAAAATAAAAAAAAATTAAGAAAATTAAAGTGAAAATTCAATTGATAAAATCAACCTTAGGCTAAAGCTCTTTGCCTTGATTCAAATCAATCCTTGAATAGGATTCTACCTTAGGACTCATGTCAATTACAGTCTACAGGACCCAACTCCTGTAACTTGTTTTTCTCTCTAGTGAATCGAGCATCTAAAATCAAATTTTAGATCTCAACTCTTTGTAAATTAATCGCGACAACTGCTTACTAACTCAACACCTTTAAATTTTGGAAAACCCTGACTCGTATTGTATCATCTCAATCGAAAATCTAACCCAATTTCAGTTTCCCTTAGCAAACTGCTGCTAAGTGTGTTCACATGAAGTCAAATGTGCCACAGGCCGATCCTTCCTCTCAACTATTAATCGAAACTGAAATTCAATTTCAAAAATTCTAAAGTGCACTTTTTGAAATTAAATCGCTTTGATTGAAAAGATGATTGATTATCAATCATTGATTTTCGAAAACTGAAAATGTAACACTGAAGGGTATGATGTGCTTTTCGATTCTCATGATTTAGAATCGAGTCATGACTTCAACCTTTGACTATGAAAAACTTAACTAAGTATGATAGAAATCATACTTAGTATTTTTAAAAGAAAATAAAATAAAAAATCATGAGAAGATAACATTGGAAGTTGTGGAAATCATCCTTATCGTCTTCGTATTCTTTGTCGTCATCTTCGATCAAAGATTCACGAGAGGGTGACTTGGGTGAAGAGAAGCTCGCGTCATCGGTGGTGGCTGGCTGCCTAGGTTGCTTATTCTATGTGTTGACAATGAAACATAACCCTCAATGTCCCAGGTGCAATACCCTTGTTCCTATTATGCCAGCGGCTAGGAAGCCTCGCATTGATCTCAATATATCAATGTGAGTGACTTGAATATTCAATGCTTTATTATAATTTTGTAAATATAAATACATGAAATGAATAAAATTTAAAAATACATGAATTCGTTGAATAATATTTAGTAATAAAAATGAATGTTGTTCTCTCTACAAAATCTGGGTTGAAACAACTATGTGGGTACCTTGTCAATAAACAAAATAAAAATTCTAAACATATATTACCTTGTAACCACCTCAAACTATTTGAAAAATTATTTTAAAAACCCTAAGTTTAACACTAATTTCATTTTTATCCCATGGTTTTTTTTATCAAATTAATTAATTCAAGTTAGCTTAAAACTTAATTTACCCATCGATTCTTAATTTCCATCTCATTGTAACATTAGATTATGTTTCTATCTAACTTCTATTGCATTGTTTTATTGAATTAAAAAATAAAAACTAATTGATAAGGAACAAACTTAATTATAAATGCTCCATGTTAGGTGTACTTATTTTGTCACCATATATTATACCAATTAATCATAAATAAATTTCAATGAGTGAAGCCGAAATAAACTTTACGAACCCTACACGAAGGAAGCTGCATCACCTTACCCTTCACATAAGCTTTCTTCACTTAAAGACAATAACTAAGTTGGCAATTCCAATGTTTTGCTTGAAGAATGCCTCTATATAGATTTCTAGAATTGAAAATTTCAGAATTTCATTATTGTTATATTGATGTATCATTGACAACACATTCACTGAACCATTTAAATAAGTGTCAATTTGCATCCTCCTATATGTTACAACGTTAATCATATCAACCGAATAAGAATATAATTCAATAAATTATTTATATTTGGCAACAAGAGAGGTAGCATTGACAAGTTTGTTCCACTTAATTATCAGCCTTTTCAGGATTCTGATCCAACTGGAAGCGAAAGAAACGCTATAAAGTCTAAAACCATTAATCTTTATACCCCCTGAGTGTTGAACAATGCAGCTTCATTTCCCAATGAATTTAAGGTATTTATGTACCATATAATCAATTAGCCTTTTGGCTTCGGTTAGATAATAAATGCTGAAAGAGAAATATGGTTGTGGTCATATAAATGTTTAAAAACTGCTTTCAACTACACTTCGTCAAACGAGGAGATAGGCCATTTACTAGACCAGTTCATTAACATGTTTAGTTTTTAATGTTTAGTTTCCCTTCATGGCGTTTAAAATATGTTTATCAGATGATAAATGTTTATTCTTGTTTTTAAATTATCCTTGTGTCTACTTCATTAAGTGTGTACCGTATTATCATAGAAAGAGAAAAGAAAAATTAAATTGTCAATAATAAATTTATTACTACATGTTGGAATATTGCAAAACTGTTTCAAGCAGTAAAGAAAGAGTTCTTTATTTCTTTGTTTTGAATACAAGAAGTCTACCTAACATAGTATACGCTACTATTTATACACAGCCTTAGCAGTATAGGTAATCATCTAACTGACTAACAAACTCATAACAATCTATCTTCTAGAATATCTTCTAGAACTTCTCTACACCTGGACATGCATGGCATTACACAAGCACACTCTTCATTCACGTGAGCTTACATTATTCTCTCAATATTCTCCCTACTTTCTCAACCTTCTTGATGAAAAGATGAACACCTGAATCGAAAGTGCGACGCCTCATTCCGTTCGACTTAAATCGAAAGTGCCGATGCTTCCTTCCGTTCGACTTGAATCGAAAGTGTCGATGCTTCCTTCCGTTCGATTTGAATCAAAAGTGTCGATGCTTCCTTTCGTTCTTCTTATTCACCTTCACTTCTTTCTTCTTCATCCTCTTATACAAGGCTCCTTGACATATTTTTTCTTTTTTTCCCTAAAGGACTATATTATCATACTTATTACAAAATCACCCCAAGTAATTATATCCATTTTGCTTTACCAAATTGAAAAAAATAAGTGATGCAGTAAACCACGAACTCCTTCAGATGAAGAATAAGACCACCGCCGGTTTAGCACGCCTGCTACGGCTCATCTAACTGGTCCTGTGCATCCGACGTCCAGAGAGTAAGATTATCCCTTAGCAGTTGCATTATGAGAGTGTTATCTTTGTATGATTCCTCTCCTAAAGTATCCAAGTCAG